CAATTCTGGTCTCCATATTACAGAATGGACATAAATTCGTTGGAAAACATTCAGCGTAGGATGACTAAATTAATACATAGCATTAGAAATCTTCCTTATGAAGAAAGATTGAAGACTCTTAAGTTACATTCACTTGTTAGACGAAGAATGAGTGGAAGATAGGTATTAATAAAGGGGATATTAACAAGGTCTTGAGGATCTCTCTCCAAGAGAGAACCCGCAGTAATGGATTTAAATTAGATAAGTTTAGATTTAGAAAGGACATAGGCAAGTATTGGTTTGGAAATGGGGTAGTTGATGAGTGGAACAGTCTACCTAGTTGGGTTATTGAGGCTAGGACTTTGGGTAGTTTCAAATTTAGGTTGGATAAGTACATGAGTGGGAGGGGTTGGATTTGAGTGGGACTTGCACATCGGAGCTTGTTTCTTGGGTAGCATTGGATATGAGTTGTAAAGGACCTGCCTAGTATGGGCCAACAGGCCTGCTGCAGTGTTCCTCCTTTCTTATGTTCTTATGTTCTTATGTAAGAACATGAGAACATAAGAAAGAAGGAACACTGCAACAGGCCTACTGGCCCATGCGAAGCAGGTCCATGTCCCCTCCCCCCCGGATTAGCCCAATGATCCACCAAAATCAGCTCACTTCCACTTAAGGAAGGAACACTGCATCAGGGCTAGTAGCACAAGCTAGTCAGGTCCAACTCACACCCACCCACACCCACTCATGTATTTATCTAACTTATTTTTAAAGCTACACAACGTTTTATCCTCAATAACTGTACTCGGGAGTTTGTTCCACTCATCCACAACTCTATCACCAAACCAGTGCTTTCCTATATCCTTTCTGAATCTGAATTTTTCCAACTTGAAACCATTGCTGCGAGTCCTGTCTTGGCTGGAAATTTTCAGCACGCTATTTAAATCCCCTTTATTTATTCCTGTTTATCATTTATACACCTCGATCATATCCCCCTAATTCTACGCCTTTCGAGAGAGTGCGAATTCAGGGCCCTCAGTCTATCCTCATAGGAAAGATTCCTGATACATGGGATCATCTTTGTCATCCTCCTATGTATGTTTTCCAGTGCATTTATATCCTTTCTGTAATACGGTGACCAGAACTGCACAGCATAATCCAAATGATAATGCTCTATTTATTCACGTGAAAGATTTTAACCATCCAATTGATTTTCAAAAAGTTGAGAAAGTTGTATCAAGCAAGTCCATGGTCGACAGGAATATAATTGAATCATGTTTCATAAAAAGCAGTTTTGAAAATAATATGAATATTTCCTTTGGTTTATATAAATTAGATTCATTTATAATTAATAAAATTTGGGAAGAATTTAATAATACATTGGACAAATAATAAATCTTAATTCTTTGGTAGAGTACTAGGGTTGGGCAAATATTTTGTAGTGGGATATCATGAAGGATCTGCCTAGTTGGGACAGTAGGCCTGCCGCAGTGTTCCTTCTTTCTTATGAGTCGGATGTCGTCACGCATCAGGTGTTGCTTCGTTGTGGGATGTGATGGTGAGGTGTGGTCTCGACCCTTTATATGCCTTCCTTTAATGTATTGTTTTTATAGTTCCTTGATAATGTGAGAAGTCACGAAAGTACTTGGAATTTCACTATTCTTTCACAATGGATGTTTTGCATGTTTTGATATCACCTGTTTACTATGATCTTATTGCACACACACACACACACACACACACACACACACACACACACACACACACACACACACACACACACACACACACACACACACACACACACATATATATATATATATATATATATATATACATATATTTGTAAGGAGTTCTGAAGACTGATTCGATGACACTTTTAACTAGATGTCGAAGGTGGAAAATCTTTCAACAACTGTCTTATTAGTCACTGGCTGATAACACTGTTAGTCACTGGCTGGTGACACCGTTAGTCACTGGCTGATGACACTGTTAGTCACTGGCTGGTAACACTGTTAGTCACTGGCTGGTGACACTGTTAGTCACTGACTGGTGACGGCTCTGTCTGTGTTGCGTAAATCACATTAGTCAGGAAAGTTATCTGTACACAGGCAACGTGAACGACATGTGGTTTAGAGAGAGAGAGAGAAAGAGAGAGAGAGAGAGAGAGAGAGAGAGAGAGAGAGAGAGAGAGAGAGAGAGATAGAGAGAGAGAGAGAGATAAGTATAGACGGTTGGGAAAAATTAGTGTGACGGGGGGAGGGGGTTAGGGGAGTAATAACGTGAGATAATCATCAGTACTCTGCCTGATAGGGCAAGCTTGTCCTGACATGTTCTCTTTATCTGTTATCTCTGTGAGAGCACTTACTTTATCTCTTATATCTGAGAGTGCACTTATCTCCATTGAAGTGTTGTTCTTTTCTCTATCTACCGCCGTTGCTAATAAAATTATGAAGCAATATTTTCTCTTCTTGCCGAATAAATAAAACAACAATCGAAAATTTGTGTATGAATACAATAATTTCGCATAAATCGTTCTGAACCTAACAAAAAAAACTCTATTTCATTGTTTTTATTTATTATTAAATTACTGTAAACCTATCTAAAATATATTTAGCTGGATTAGGCTAAATTAAATTGCGCTTGTTGTAATAAGGTTAGATAAGTTTTCTGAGGTACTTTTGGTACAAAATTATTAATTCATTTTTACATTAGCATAAATAAAAATATATGTCTTTAAACATTTAAGAGAAATTTTTAGAGAGGACTTAATTTTAAATGAGTTTTTGCTAATTGATCAATTTTACGCATTCTGCACCATATAT